CTCCGCTAAGGGCCGGTCGAAGACCGTTATTTCCAGGTGCGCGTCAGGTCATCTCAACCTTCGTAGCGCGAAAAACAAGTCATGGTCTCAAACAACAATTGTCCATCTACTAGCAGCGGTGCAGGCAAGCACTGCTGGGTTCCTTATTCTACTCTCATCTACCATTGGCTGTATGGCAGACGATGGGTGCTGCCAGGGAACGAGCATGATGACCATGATGTTTGCTGCAGTGCCTGAGGAGGGTGCTTTTTCTATGCTCCTTCCGCCTCCTTTCGGAAGCCTGCCGGGTCTGGCTCACTCTCTCGGCCTTGTTTTTTTTTTCGTACGTTTGTCTTTATTTGTATTTTGTTTGTTCATGCTTTGTTTTTTGGGGTCCCCTGCCCACCCATCGTGTACGATGCGATCTAGCACGGACGGCAGGCGTGTTGAGGTGTAGAAATTTGTCCGTGGTGGTTTTAGTCTGTCTGATTATGTTCTTGTTTATTGTTGTCACTAGCTTCCGCCACCTACGGTTAACACCTTGCTTGCGTAGGGTTGCGCATCGCCAACGGCGAGCGGAATAGAGTACACCAATCATGATGTGGGTTGATCTTTGATGTGACGACAAATAAGTACAAGTTAGCGCAGGCGGCTTTTTTCTGCCGAGGGAGAGGGACTAAATGACCGGTCCGCATTCTGGTGGTCTCCTTCATTCGAATGCCTACTGGACAGTTCATCAGCGAGCATCATTAGCGAGGAGATCGTTGACAGCATCGAGTCCCTCGCCACAAAGAATGCATTCAGTAGGGGGCCCGATATATTAAGTGGCATGTAGGGGCAAGATGAAAATATGCCACTATTCAGGGCAGTGCCACTATTTTATGTATCGGTTTCATGTACGTGTTGGGATTGTGACGAGTTTTTCATGCCACTAGACTGTATTGGCAGTTTTTCATGCCACTATTCTGTCCACAAAATGCTTCTGAAGGCCGCAATCTGGCACCCTGGGACCGAGCGTCTTGTGGAGTCTACGCCTTTCTCAGGATTTAAGACAGATACCGTAGCAATAACAGAAGAAACCTGCACGTGTTTATCATGGCTGCGACGACTTTGGACGCGTGTTCACTTTGGAGTGCTTTCACCGCCTTCCCTGATTAACTACCGACACTCTCGTCGCCAGTGTTCCCAATACTTTTTGTCAGGCCCTCTCCAGTCTTGCGACGTTTGTTGTGAGGAAAGTCTTCTGGCTCAAACCCTTTCCACTCTTCCACGCCATGTGGTCGTCCTCCACCATCGCCTCCATCCTCCTTTGCCTTCCTTTCATCTCCGCCTCTCCCGACGGAACTGCGCTCAATACCGTCGTTGTCGCTTTCACCAATACTGGGCCGTAGTGGAAATCGGCCGATCATTAGTCCATGACGATTGAAAACATCACGAGTTCACCCCGACAGAAACTCGCCAGCTCGAAGGTAAACCGTCTCCGAATTGTGTTGTTGTGGTAAACCTTGACGCGAAGCAAGGCCGTTTCGTCGTCGAAATTCCCCCTGCTATTCTTCGTGGGGCGAGGTTGGCGGTAGCTACGATTAACCGATTTTTCCCGCCACCAAGACCAAAGATTGATAAAGCAGCAGTAAGGAGGGTAGATCTAGACGGATTCAACGTTCCCGCGAAGTGGTTTGCCTTGGTTGCTGCTCTCTTCGAGGGTGGACCCTGGTGTTTGCATTGACTTTTCGATGCTTCGAGTTGCAGGTGGGTTGACGATGGTCACATCTACGAGGACAGACTCGGTGCAAGATCCTTCTCTTTTTGTATCTCCTGCACGTTATCCTAGGGCGATTACCAAATCCATCTCGTAGAGCCCTTTTCCCCTCCCTGTACCAGTGGTAAATGGGGAAGAACTCTCGACTGCGATTGGCATGTGGCACTGGCGTAGTTTCTTGAGGATTACTTGAACCATCCTGTTTTGGAGGAAGGTTGCGGCGCCGGTTGTTGTGCTGACGAGGGAGTGGGCCCAGCTCAAATGATCTTGGCATGGCGACCATACGCCCGAACCACAAAGTCTGCCTGTGTCGCAGTCAGTTCGGTCGGGGCTCCTTAGTAGACGACCGAATGACTCCCGGTATACCTCAATTCGTTCATCCGTTGGCAGCCCTTGCGTTGTCAGCCACGATAAAAGTTTCTTGCCCTCGCTTCCTCCAAGCGGATCAACGCCGTCTTCCCTAACCTTTCTCTTGCATGCTACATTCTGCAAGTCTGCCTCCACCATACGACGCACAGCTGCATGAAAAGGTTTGGACAGGACGGCTTGTGCACCGAAAACTTGATTCTGCATGGCCGAAAGAGTTTCGACAGCATGTAGACGGTGTTTGCCGTTCCTCGCAAGGGTTTTCCCTTCCTTTTCTCTCCCTACGTTCCCAGCCTCCATGAGATAATACTCCTGTGAGTGTTGAAGTCAAATCATCACACGTCGCCAGTTTCGTCCAAGACTGGCCCACAGTACAGCTTTTTCAAGCTTGTCTTCTTGTTATCTAGCTTCTTGAGCGACTGAACCCTCCTAGTACTGGAAGCCCAAATGGGCGCACTTGGGGACACAGCACTCGAGAGCCTATTTACCGCGTCGCAGTCACCCTAGATTCCGCCGTTTGAAACGCACGTGAGAACACATTATCGATCATGCTTGGGTGAGGTGGTACGCTGCGTGATATGCTGTGTGATGCCCCTCCTCGGCCTCTGACTTGCTGTACACCGTCTCCCAAGCCGCGTGTCTCCTAGGTCGTAATATTGTCATCGCATGTTAATGGAAAAAATCGCTGACTCGACTTCTTTTGGGAACACTCTTCATACCGAAGCCAAGTCACCCTTTGTCCAAGGAGCTCAGATTCTTTGGAGGGGCTGTAGCCTCTCGACCAATGGCTGACGGGTGATAGTGCGTGGGGCACCCCAAGACACGTTGTTGTAGTTGCATCAGTGGCATACTGCTGCTCTGTAGACTATGTGCAGACACAGATGGGGTAGAGAACGAGATGGGGTAGAGGAGCGGATAGAAACGGTGACCTTCCGCTGTGGGCGTGTCGACCGCGTGTCCTATGTGCACACACAGAAGGTTTTTTCCTCTCGAGCCCCGCTGATGCAGACGCTCCTCAAGGCTCGCTGATTTGTGCTTCTCAAGGGCATATCCTGAGAGAGAGTCGGGCTAAGCGAGGAGTAAGCGGCGCACCCCACGATATGCGACTGATCATCTCGCGATCTTCCCAACAAGGGACGGAAGGGAAAGAGGTGACAAATGTAGACAAGCTAGAAGGCACACACCACCTTTTTTACACACACGATATTCCTCTTCTTTTTCGAGAGCATTTGGACAGATGGGCGTTTCAAATTTTTCAGCTGCGGGCATACGCAATTGCCAGTCAAGTACATGCCCGTGATTCAACTGTATTGCCGCGACTCCACGGTGAACGTCACACATTTATGGAAGCATCACCCGAGGCAGCATCGCGCCACTTCGTGTGCACAGCAGCTCGGATATACTGGTGCAGGTAGACTGAAGCCAGTTCACTCACACAGCAACAAGTACCACAAGTCATGCCCGTGAAACAAGAGGCATTTAAATAGCGCGCATATAGCAGCAGCATGACAGATGACGTGCTCACGAACAACCGTGACCGATTGCTGTCCGTGTACGTTGGTCCGTGGGAGACGCATATCGCTAAGCGAGCAACGCGTCAGAGCAAGGCGTCAGAGCAAGGCGTCAGAGCAAGGCGTCGAACCCTGTACCTTTTTACGTACATGACTGTGCTGCCTTGGAGCACATTCAGCAGCCTGGGCTTGTACGGTACACATGAAAGCTTTTCCTAGCTCAGAACACAACTAGTAAAAAACGAAAGTGTGGTGCACCGGGCCCTTCGTGTTCAACCCCCCGTTCGAAAGGCGAAACAGACAAGGCCGACGGCGACAGCAGGCCGAAGCTTCTCAAAGTCGGGGAAGGGTCATGATTTGCGATTCCCCACCCAACCTACTCAAGATGCTACGCGAGATTTGCACTGTAAACTCGAGATCAGCATCTGGCAACGGTTCGGGCAAGGGGAGGTGGAGTCAAATAAAACTTGCGCGGATTTGTCTTCAGGACTTCTTCTGTATCACAAGCAAGCGCGGATCTCAAGGTAGCACCGCCTCTGTGTACATGTTCGTGTCGTGCTCCTGGAAATCGTGAGGAGTCATACAGCGGTACACAGCAGCATACCTCCTTTCTATCCTTTTCGTTGCACGCCATCGACGTATGAAGATAGAAATACCCAAACAAAATACCATTGTTTCAACGCCAAAGTTGAGAAGAGAAAAAAACGTTCGGAAAGCAGCCGTGGGCATACGGCAAATTATGGGCGCGGGCAACAACGGCCGCCCACCTGTTTTTCTACAATCCCAGCGCCAATTGCCGTTCGTCGTGAGACTCGCTTCACTCAACGTGGCGTCGTACAGTAGGCCGCCAAATCCCATGTGTACTCTCTTGATATTAGGTGCTACTGCCGTTGTTGTCCCCTCGTCACGTTGTGCTCAATCGCTGACGGGATTCTTCTCTTCGTGTCGGCACTTTGTGTGCTTCTTTCATCATACACACCCGCGCCTCGTTACGACTGCTTCATCCACCATTTATGTCTCCACGGTATGTCTGCTACTTTTTATTCGTGTCCTGCTTCTTTGGTTGTTCGCAGTTTGTAGCAGCCTACGGTCGTGCCTTCCTACCTTAAGGTCTTCGATATGGGTCAGACAGGCTTTCTCTGGTGTATTACAATATTTCTTTAATGTTTTTCCGTAGAAAAGAGTTCATCAGTTTTGTTCGTCATATGCCCTCACCAACTCACGATATAACCAAACAACTCGTGGAAAAGGGCAATTGGTTGCTGAGTACGGTTGCTGAGTACCTCGGCCGCTTGGATCTTCGAACGCATGCCGGGAATCGTCGTATGTTCACCTGGAAATATTGAGCCCGCTGTCACTCTCCTGCATCTCACGCTCTTGGACAGGTCGTTGAAATCGTTCAAAGGGGTCTTCTGCGTGGAGGGGGGTGCGAAGCTGCCGAGGCATGTGCTGAAGTGATTGGAGCAGCCGCTACGTGCTGGCGTCGGTTTGAAGGCGCTTACCGTGATGATATCAGCTGCATTGTTCTACGGCTTCCATGTTTCCAAGCCGCCACGGATATTGACAAGTCGGGAAGTAACAAGCTCTGACTGATGGCGTTTTGTGCTATTTTTTTTTTGTCGGGAGGTGTGGCGGGTTGATTGTTTTGGTTGAACAACGGCATCACTACGCCGCTACAGCTACCCCAAGTTTGAACTTACCTTGAACAGCTCAAGCATAGAAAGCTTATTTTTGACACCGGATATCAACATCGGAACCTGGGATGCAGAGGAGCGTCCTTTGACCGCATTAGCCTCTGCTACGAGTTGGCGCACACATGCTGGCATGGGGCAGGGCGGAACAAAAGGGTGACGATGGCGGGGGGAGAGGGGGAGGGCATTGCTGCTTTCTCACTCCGGAATGTGCAGCAGACGGTGCGCCAAATGATATCGCAGTAGCAATGGAAAGGTGTTTCCATACATATGGCCCTCCCCTCACTCTCCTACACACGCGGTTAAGAGTGGATGCATGACTCCAACACGTAGCTCCAAGTGCACATGGAGTCTCTTCGTGCATGATTAATTGTACCCATTGCTTTCTCTATCGTATGTATGCAGAGGCCGGAGATCGAAATCTGGGGCCGCGGGCGAAGCGGGGGGGGGTAGTTTTAAGGAAGGGCGGGGACACGTAGTAGCGATTCCCCGGTTTTCCAGCTGTGGTGTTTTCCCTGAGGCGTGGACATATTCCAGAGGTCCCTGGGTTATTTGCGGAAGGTTTTGTTTCGCCGATTCTTCTGGTTACCGTTACGGTCTCTAGAGATCTTAAACGGTAATAAAGAAGTGTCTGTCAGGAAAAATAGATACACAGAAAGACTACCCGTTCGAGATATAACCACATTCGAACGGGATGTATTGTGGAATCCTTGCAGTGAGTTGAGGGGAACCAGCTGGGTGCTGGGCTTATTTCGAGTCTGTTTTTAGCCTAGACACTGATGATTTATATCAGTGAGACCATCGGCCGTCCTGCACAACGTCAGACGCCGTACAATTAAGCAAGTTTCAGCTTTCGATTGGCGCCTCCTGCGTTAACGTTTTGGCTGTGTCGGTGATTAAGCTTCTCAGGCACGAAACACGAACGAGCATGCAGCAGGTGCTGCCGGCACCAAATTGCTCCGATCTCGACGAATTTGTGCCTAAACTTTGCCTGCACGCCATCAAATTGAAGCCTCGTCCAGTCTACAACAGGATGCACGACCCGTTCCAATGACTGTGGGCTTCCTATGTTGAGCCTGCCTACGAGAGGTTTGGGCCACGCCGCTACACACTCCCGACGTTGCTGTACCCTTGTCACGATAAAAATACCTCAGGCAGGAACCGCAGGAGGGGGTCCAGCCCCCCCCCTCCTGTGTGACCCCAGTTGGGTCGTCTAGCTAGTAGAAGTGGAGGATAGGGGCCAGAGATGCAGACGGCAGAATCCGATGATGGGAAAAACAAAACAAAACTCCCCACGTGGAAGTATGATCCGCCGCATTTAGCACACAAACATGACAGCAACTTGATGAGTGATGACTGTCTCTTTGCCTCGTCAGAACACAACCAACCATCCATCCATGATTGGTTTTGCAGTGTGATTGGTGATGATTCGTATTCCCCAATTGCAAATTGAGGCTTTGGTCAGCACAATCCCGCAAGAAAACAGTGAAGAAATCTTGTCCGAAATTTCGATAATCAAATCAAGTGAAAGAAGTGGTCGAAATGCAAACATTAATCAAGTGAAACTTGTCATCGAAATCCATACGTCTTCGAGTGAAACAAGTGATCGAAATCCATACATCAATCAAGTTCTGAAGCTTTCGCTTCAGTCATCGTTTAATACCCGTGGGCGGAACTTTCATCCGCATCCCCCACCCCTGCCCCGACCCGGTCTCAATTGCTGATCTCGGGCTACAGTGCGAATTTCGTGGCGCCTACAGCACGGTTCGGTAGGGAATCACAAACCATGACCCCTCCCCGAGTTTGAGCACCTTGCACCTCCTGTGGCGGACACGACTCGGCCTTGACTGTTCCTTGTCCGATTCGCCAAGGGAACGGCCGGTTGAACAGCCAAAGAGGATCCTGCGTGCTGCGCGCCACAACCTTGTTTTTTTATTGTGATTTTCTTCCTGATGAGTGACGGTTATGCACATGCGGTTGCTGCTGTTATGCTCGGAAAATGCTGCAAAGGTCGTAAGGTTATCGTCTCTGTCGCTTGGGCTTGCACGCTGTGCTCGCGTAGAAAATGCGCATCCCTTATTTTTTCTCGGTGTCGATATCCATGAAGAAAAGCAACGGCAGCACGGTTGAAGATTCAGACAACAACAGACGTCCGCCTCACAGTAGTCTTTTTTTTTTTTTTTCTTGCTGCATATGCATGGGTGGTAAGAAAGTACCCACAATTCGGAAACGGCGACTATAATTGTTGTGTTTGATGTTGTTGCTGAGCGCACCTCGGATGTCGCCATTCGTCGCACATGTTCGACAGCGTGCGGTGGGCCACAGGGACGAGAGTGGGTGTCTTCTCGAGAGTTATTTTGCCTTCTCGACGCTCGCTTGATTTGGTCTACAGTATGGTCTAAGCGCAGTAGTTCATTTAGTACAGTATCGAAAGCTGTACTACACGTACTGGTTATTGGGCTTCGTACTGTACCGAGAGCCGTACTAAACCCCCAGTACTACAGTACAGTACGGCCCTATACTTGCTGAAATACTGGAAAGTACGTTTAGTTCGTACTATACTAGAGGGAACCTTTGAGAGCAGGATCGAGGAACAGCCGATCATAAAACAGGACCAACAGCACGCGGCGAGCCGGCCCATGAACGTGAACGCAGCTGATGATCCATGTATAGACAATGATTTATTGTTGGATTTTGTCCGCCGCTTCACTGCGATAAGCCTTCTCCAATTATAGTATGATTGTGTATGTTGTCGTCTACAGGAAGAGACTGCTTCTCGCCCACTCCTTTACTCGCTTCCTTCTGCCGTGTTGTCGCGGTGCTGCGACTAAATTGTTCAGGAGTTCTATGCATACCAAGAATTTCTCAACGAGCTTGAACGGGTCCATCCGGGGGAACGTTCGAAAATAGTAAGCAGGCATCACTTCTACCAAATTCTTCGAGCGGAGAGACGGAACGTCCGTATGAAGAGCGGAGGGGACTTCATGAAATGTGACGTGTGCGTCACGTTCAAGGAAGTACTAGGGGCTGTTTCGGGGGGTGCCCAGCCCATTCACGACCCCGAGACCCGCCTCGCCACCCGCCAGAAACTGGCGAAACACCGACAGGTGCGTTGCCAGTTTACATGTGTATGTCGTGGGACGGGGTCGATCTTCTTCATTCAATTAATTTGGTTCAGACCTGTCTGTCATTATGCGACCTTGTACGCGGTCTGCCGTGCCTTGGGTGCTTGCACATGTGTAAGCGAAGACAAAGGGTACAAATGGTGTTCATTCTTGTTCACGATTGCACATAAATGTTCTTGTCTCAGGAAGTCCAAAAGGATCGGCTGGAGATCGCGAAAAAAAACGCTGCTGCCATGCGGGCCAAAGCGGACGGCAAGCCCCTTGACTACATGCTCGTGGCTTTTGACGCGGCGAACCAGACGTCCCACTCCCTCCCGACCTTCTTCCCACCTACCCACGGCAGTGACAGGTAGTGAGCACAAGCGAGCACGGCTGTAATATGTTGTAGGCATTCGCGTGCAGGTTATTGCACATAGAGTAGCAGCCCTGGTCAGCAGCGTCAAGAGAAACCCCGTTCTTTTTGGGTAGCTTTGTTTGGATGGTACCGAAGGGGAATGCCCTTGCCCAGTTTCCATTCAAGTCTGTCTCCTTATACGTACACACCCCGGTTCTTTAATTTTGGTGGTATAATACCGTGGTGGCACAAATGCGCTCAGTTTCCCTTCACGCCTGTCCCGTTGTACGTCCACCTGTGAGTCCACCCCGCTGACCTCAATGGCCGCCGATACTCGTTGCACTTCCTACGTACTTGACAGGGGCTACCCCGAGCGCCAGATAATCATGGCAGCACACGTGGAAGGCTAGTTCGTGGATGTGTACTTCACCCCGCAGTACCTTGGCGGAGGTATGTTTCGTTGGGATTTTGGCACAGAAGGTACCTGTAATAGTTTGGAGACCCCGCAGGATATCTATGAGTCGGCGCAAGAACAAGTACGGTAAGCATTGATGACGACGCGTCTCCGACGGGGTGGATGTGGTATGCGTGTGTCAAAGGACGGAAAATTGGACATTTCCCCAAAAAAGACTGACTATCGATTGAGAGTATTCGCAAGTACTGGCGCGGCGCCGTCGTTCGTACAGGTTGTAATCTTTCCTGCACGGCGGCTCACCTCGCCATCACACGCCTCCTCGACATGCACGACAAGGGCAGCCGCCATCCTTCGGGGTACGTCATTCAGCACGTGCATTGGTAGGTGAGACGCTCCATCATGTCCTCCTCATACATGGGTCGCAGGTGCATGCTAGCGGGTACAATGATTTGGGTTGATGGCATGGAAATGCTATATGTCGAGCAGGTCATGCGATTCATGATGATGATCTGCGAGATAGTAGTTCTTGTCGGCATGAAGTCCTGTTTGGCATGGAAATGTGGTGAAAGACCCTGCCTGGCGGTCATCGTTGCAAAGACTGTGTCCATGTGCTTCCCTTTCTTGTACTCGCCGCAGGTAGACAACTGCGCCTCCGAGAACAAGAACAACTTCTTCCTTGGCTATGCGGGTTTGTTGGTGGCGGCCAGCGTCATCCGCGTGGTGGAGATCAACTTCATGATGGTTGGTCACACTCACATGAAGATCGATCAAATATTCTCAAGGTGAGTGGGGTGACCATCCGCGTATTCTGTTCTACCCCAACAAAAAAAAATCTACCACATATTCCAGTTGTTTTTTCCCGCTTTCTTTCTCCTTCTTGATTGAGGAGGTTTGTGGCGATGAAGCAAGTGCAGCTGGGCGCAACAAGCAAAGGCTATGTACATCCTTCCCTTCCTATCTGTTCGTGTATATCAAAACATATGATATCTCAAACTAAAGAAGCCGGTGTCATCGTCGCGCAAAATGTTAAGAGCATTTTTACCGCTGCCAGCCGCAAACATGTCACCGAGCATCCCCCAGAAGACAATCCAATTACAGCTGCGCTTCTTGCACGGGACGCCGCCCGTTCGTCCAACACCTACATAAAGTGGTTTGGCACAAGATTGGAAATGAAATTTCCTGAGGACACTTGTGCCCCCTTGCACTACTCATGTTTTCAGGTTCTCCCGCGGCATCAAAGGGAAGAACATCTTCACGAGGACCCAACAAGCTGAAGTGCTTCAGGCGTCCTACACGGAGGTTCCAGTCATCTGCAGCACCCTGCGGAACGAGGGCAACTTCAAGGGACCCCTTCAGGGCCGCGTCAATCGTGTCCCAGACATCACGACCTACAGGGCTTTCCGGGTTGAAAAAGGCGGTGATGGGCGGGTGATGGTTCGGGTGAAGCGTCACATGCACGGCACCGAATGGAAAGGGATTGGCAGAAACGGCGATGTCGACCCAAACGCCCCTCCTCACGACCTCTTCATCGGCCATCCGCCTCGCATCCAAGATGCTCTTCCCTACGAGCTCAAGCAAGTGTCCGATGAGGTCATCCGCAAGGTGGAGCAGCGTTACCTGGCATCGCACGAACGCCTGGCTGCGTCGTACCCACTACGTGAGTCCATCACGTCGCGGGGGATTCAACGATTTATGCGCGGGTGGTGGGCGGTGAGAATCGGTAGGTTGCAACTCGGTGCAAGGCGGCAACTTGAGGCAAGACAGAGAGGGAAGTTTTGAAGTAAGCGTTACATTGCGACAGTTTCTTAACGGGAGACGAGACCGCGAAAAACAAAAAATCCGGGTTCTACAACAGCACTTTGACCTTTCGTGCCATGCGCACGGCACAGAGAGGGTGGGTTCATCATTTATGGGGATAGCTCTCGGGTCCGGGGCATCTTGTTGCTGTTTAGCTCTGAGGTGCGCCGCGCGTTCTGCCTCCGCAAAGCCGCAGCCCAAGACGTTCATAAGATGCAGCGAACACCACTGCTTTGCTTACCAGGGAGCGATCCACGTGGACGGGGTCTATACTCTAAAAAGAAACCTCACCCACGCCAAATCATTGTTTCGGCTTAAGTTTCCTACCTTCGAATGGAGCCCAAGTACCTAACGTAATCAACCTTTTTCCATGCCCACAGACTGTCCTGGGGTGCTCATTCCCGCTGGTGGCAATGACCCCTCGATCTTTCTCTGTTGTCGATGCTCTACGCCCATGCCCCCATCCATCTTCCCAGGCGACGCAGGCGCGCAAAGAGCAAAGAACGAACACATGGATTCCGTGCGGCGTCTCAAGGAGACGGGGCTGCGAGAATTCGACCTTCCAGTACACTGGCTTCCTGGCGACTACGGCGGAGCAGAATCTGGTGTCCGCAACGGCGATGAAATCGAAGAGGAAGACGGTTCGGGGGGTCCCGGTGATCGTGGTGGGGGCGACGAAACGGATACGTCAGACAGTGACGCGAAGGAAGCTGACTGCTTTCGAAGGGGTCGTTCTCATACCATCGGAAGGTCGGCCAATGATCGGGACGTCGTTAGTGTCGAGGAGGGCAGTTTCGCCTACTTCGTGGCGAGGGGGGCTCCGTTCTTGGTTGGTAGGATAGCTGCGGAGAGCGCTGACCGTGACAGAACGCGGGGTGTGGATCTGCACTAGTTTCGCCCGACCAACGACCACACGCGCGACAAAGCCGCGTCCCTGACGCTTGACGAGTATGGCAAAAGCACCTTCGTTGAAGGATACGTCATAACCGCTAGTGACGGCACTCGGCGAAGTATGAAAGCAAAAAGGGTGAAGGGTGTCAGCTGGGAACCCGTAGAAGGAATTGTTGCGACGTGCGACAAGCTTGTTGGGAACGGCAGAAAGATTCCAAACAGGGTTTTAAAGGTGCCAAGGTCTGTTGTGGGGGACGACAGAGGTAGTGCGAGCAGTGGGCGAGAAGTTCAGGGGCGACAGGGAGAGGAGGGGAGGATGGGGGGTGGAATTGGTGAGGTTGAACGCCCCGCCATCATGGAGGACGAGGACGAGACTGGGGAACACCAGCCGGAGAACGAGTCCGAGAGCGCTGAGCACGATCAAGAGATGGGGCGCGTTGTGACGAGTAGGCCACGGGGGGGTGGTGGTGGGGAAGAGGGAGAAGGATCGTCCACCGGTGCAGGGGCAAGAGAGGAGTCCCTGCAGGGAGCCATGGAAGAGCCCGCACATGACGCCGACAGAGGAAGTAGCAGTGCAGGGGTGCGGAAGATACCGCACTCAGACACGCAGCTTACCCAGCGAAACACTCGAGTTCGGTTGATGGCTGCACACTTTCGGCCCCGTCGTTGATAGAAGTTTGAGTGCAGTTTCGGCATCCCCGCCATATTGTTTGTTCTCAAACAAGCATGTATGTAATGACCTATGATCTTCTTCTTCTGGCGCCATCGATTGAATAAGCTGATTGATGATGATGATAGCACTGTGGTCGTACCCCGAAGTGTTGACGAGACCATGAGGATGGTGCTTTTCGTTGAGGATGAAACGCACGCGGAAATGTTTCCAGCAACTGCAAAAATATTTTTTCTCGGAAATGTTCTTGTGGTTAAATGTTCGGGCCAAGAGGTACTCTGCGTCTGTATAGGATGTGCATTTGGCGCTGCGTGTATGATGATGAGTGCAGACGGGAAGAAGAATGACATGATTCTCAATGACGCAAGAAGCAGCAGCAGCAGCAGCAGCAGCAGCAGCAGGAAGCAGAAAGAAGAGAGAACTGACTGAGCACAAACCATATACTTACCCATATTCTACACCATAGCAGTACAGAACGCCCTACGCAACCCCGGCCAACCTCTGCCGCCATTCCGGCGGGTAGGGAGGGTGGCTCGGCGCCATGACGACTGGGATGAACACCATGTCCCATCCCACCAAGTAGGCGAAACTAGCAGAAACACAGTGACCCCGACTGTCGCGGCCCCACGAAGGGTGACGGGAGTTGGCATCGACCCGGGCTTTGACATGGGAAGCGGCCCAGAGGAGGAAGAAGGATTTTTGTCCCCGAGGAACCCATCCACAACAGCACACGCCACCAGTCGGACGAGCCCTCAAGTAAGACCCGGGGAAAGAAGCCAATCATTAGAATCGCCATGGCGGCGCAGACCATCTGCTCGCGAGGGTAGCGGAATATCGGATGACGCTACTACATCGGGTGAACGTCAACGAACTTCCTCGGAACCACCTCAAGGCGGAAACAGGCGACGCCGGCAGGGAAGTGAACCGGATCCAGACGGTGAGTCGCGAGAAAGAGGAACGCCATCACATCCGGCACGCGGAGAAACACACCGCGGAAGGGGCACGGGGGGAACGGGTACTCCGGGTGCCGATGACCGAGCGACCAGGAACGGGGACGCTGGAGGAAGCATGGAACCTGGCGCCACGGGGAACAGAAGCGAGCACCCTCGTTCCAGTACCAGATGCGGAGTGTGCTCGGGTCAGGTCATCGAGGGACACCGTGTGGTACAACCCACTTGCGGGCATCCCATCCACGCAAGATGCGTACTAACTAGCCTGGAGAGACGCGGAGAACGCGCGCTGCTTGGGTGTAGGGTGCACGGGTGCGGGGCCCAACACTCTCGGAGGGACAGCCTGGAGGCGGCGGTTCAAGCTGACCCGGGGCTGCAGCTACGAGCTGAAAGACTGATAAGGGGGTTAAACGACGAACCCCACGGAGCACGTTCGCTGTACATCTGGAACCAAGACAGTCCGGGAATAGGGCCTGCTTTGGACGATGTCAGCATGGATGATCTCACACTCGGGTTCCAAACGGTATAGAAAGTTCAACCTAGGTTTGCTTCCGACCATGCCCGTCTCCAAACCCACGTGCTCCACCTGGTTAACAAGCAGCTAGCAGAAGGCGGCGGCGCTTCCTCGGCGACCGGGACCCCACTTTCCACTATCCGGGTCATCAAACTTTGGTACCTCCTACCAGGTATTCTGCACTCCTTTGATGGTCGGATAGCTCGAAAAAAACGCTACAACTCGCTCAAAAGAGGGGATATATCGTCCGTTCTTCCTTGGCTGATTGAGTATACCAAGGCGGCGAGTGCAAGGAGCAGGGGACCGGCACCGGAAGACACACCCGACGACAAGTTCAAAACGGCGGCGCAGGCATGCCGGCACTCTGGAGGCGTGAAGGACGCGGCAGGAGCGCTCCTAGCCGATCAACCGTCACCGGGGAACGACGAGACATGGGCACGTCTGAAAGCCAAATTTCCGCATGAGGATCCCGTACAAGTGGAGCAGGCCATCGCCGAAGCCATAGCTGCAAGCCGCACCGAGGAGGAGGAAGGAAGCGCCCCGAGATGGAGGCCAGAAACCGAGTTCGATCCACAAGTACTCCTTCAAGTCATCAACAGCAGAAGCTCTAACTCTGGAGCAGGAAATGACGGGCAACGTTTCTCCCACCTTAAGTCCATCGTCAACACTAAAATTGGTCGGGAAGAGTTCAGCAACGCGATGTCGTCCCTTTGGAGGAGGCTCATCAACGATCCCAACGCGTTCCCACCGGAGTTCTGGACTCTTTGGAAACAATCCAGTCTAATCGCCCTCGGTAAAAGTGCCGTCCAGTGTGCATTGGAATGACTTGGAGAAGGTTGATTGCAGCGGGAACGGTCAGGGAGTGGAAACCGAAACTGGAAGAAATATTTCGGGAAGCGGACCAATTCGGAGTGGCAGTAGCTGGAGGAGTTGAACAAGTTGCGATGGACGCACAACTGGTTCATCAGACAGGTCATTGGGTGGTCCAGACGGATTGCTCAAATGCCTTCACGGGCAAGCGCACCGCCATAATGGTTCAGGCCGCAAAGAGCGTCCCAGATCTCGTGGGGTACATCGCCAGGTGTTACGACGAAATCCCGGCAAAGGGGATATACACGATGGACTCCGGAGAGCGTCGGACGATCGAGTGCAAGAGCGGTGTGCAGCACGGAGATGGAATGGGACCGCCCCTGTTCTGCTATCCTAGTCCCGATCGTCTTGAAGCTTAGAGCCAAGTACGACCACCTCGGGGTAAGCTTGAAAGCTTATTTGGACGACATCAGCCTGCACTTCAAAAATATCACAGCGGAAAATATTCAGGTGATATCGGACCTCATCGACGAACTAGAAGCTGTGGGCATCATCGCCAACCGGGGGAAGAGCTCAGCGCTTTCCCCACCAGGGCACGACGTGACGCCAGCAGAAAGGAGGCTACTTGGCGATGCAGGCCTACCGATTTCGGAGGAGTACATCACAGTTGTGGGAGTGCCCATTGGGACGGATGCCTACGTCGAGGATTTCGCAAGGAAAGTGATAGCTGAAGGGGGTGCAGAAAAGCTTGCTCGCATGCTGGTGCTCGAGGGATACACTCTCTAGAGTGTTACTATACCCATGTATGTGTGTTGAAGATGATGGTATCACTTGTATTTAGGACAGCAGACACGATCAGGACGCGGCGGGAGAGAGAGAGTGCCACGACACAGCAAGCACTCCCACAGGGTCGAGTCCCGTGGATCAACCATGAAACCAACCCAGGGGACTATCAATTCCTATCTACGTAGCCACTTCCTACAGTCCCATTGGAATATTCTCATCCGCTCATGCACACACGAACAGAAAGACGGCAGATGGTGCCGGAAAAAAAACACACACAAATTTTTGCAAACATACTTCAGTATAAACACACATATTTTCCCGCTGGCACTGACGTCTTTTAATTGGTCAGCCGGTTCTCGCGGTCGATGCTAATAATAAATACACACGCTTGTTTATCGGTGCAAAGGTGGTGCGAACACACACACACACACACCTCCCTTGGCCAATTCGTGTGAGATCACCACTTCCACCACGCACGCTCAGTAGCGTGGTGGAAGGT